CGCTGCCGGCAGCCGAAGCGTCGGAGGCAAGTTCGCAAGTACACCAGAAACGAAGCGTAATTGCCCGCCATGAATTATTCATCGCATCTGGCTTGTCTGATTTTTTTTTTTTTTGGCATAATGGCAGCGCTAATCCCTGATCAATTAATGGGAAATGAAATTTAAATGATAATGAAAACTCCAGAGATAAAGGGAATTAAGTATTCTCGCGGCTTGTGACAGAAATCCAAACAATGGGATTTTGTAACTGTCTTCCTGGCCCTGTCAGCTGCCTCCGCTCGTGGGGACGGAGCTGAGGCGAGCGGAGCGGCCGAGGTCCGGCCCGCGTGGAGGCCTCACTGGGAGAGGAAACTCTGCACAAGTCCGACACACAATGTACAATTCTGGCACCTTTTTATAGCCTCTCTTCCTATCTCAGGTTATTCTGCAACATACCTCTGTTCATTTTACAAAGGAAACTACTTATATAAATACTAGCAATGCCTGCAATACGTTCTGTGGCAAATTATTTCCCCCCAAACTGAGGTGACTGATTGTAATTTTTCTCTTTTTGTTTTTCTTCTTTCTTGCGTATATTATTATTTTTGAACAATAAAGCTAGGCCTTTGCCAGTTTTATTTTCTGTCCTCCTGCACTACATAATGGTGCGCTTGATGTTTGGGCTGTGAAACTACAGCCCTACACATGGAGAGTCTATACACACGTGTATCTCTATAGACACATGCAGCATTTGTATGCCTATGAAGAGTCCTTACTGCAGTACTGTACTGTAAGTGGTTTTAAAATATTTGTATTCATCATAGGTATTATAAAACTATAAAATATATCCAAAGGTTTAATTACATTTTTTTTGCTAAAGTACTAAAAATACAACAGCATTAAATTCTATATGCCAGTTTTTTCTTAGACTTGAACCAGTAAAGGCACTTGGGTTGCAGGATGAGGTTCCAAATCTTCATAACTGGCCTAATATTCTTGTATATTTCCTAAGAACACCAAACTTTTTTTTTTATGTGTCAATAGAATCATATTGGAGCTTGGATTTATTACCTGAAATTTATATAACATTTTCATTTATTCTACAAAGCTGGACTTCTGAAAAAAAGGAAAACACACACACACAAAAACCCTACGAGAATATTTTCTTACCTAAACGAGACCTGATTCTGCAAACACGTGTATCTGCTTAGTGTACGATCAGTACCAGCAGAGTTACTTGCATGTGTTAATGGAATTACTTGCAAGCTCGTGCGTTTGCAGCGTTGAGGGCCAAATGAAGACCAAGGCTCTCAAGAGGTGGGGGCACTTGATAGGAAATGAGAGTGAATTTCTTCAGGAAACACAATTTAGAGGGGGGCATAGAGATCTGCAGTGCATATCTGCCATACTGTACATTTTCACCAAAAACATCTAATTTAGGTTCAAATATATCAGCCATCTAAATGCTGAATAATTGTTAGGTGGCCAATATTTTTCTCATACATGGAAAAATGTACTGCACATACAGCATGTGAACATGAAATGTCATGGGAAAAGTAAAAAAGTTCCATGCAAGTAAGGGGACCATTAAGTCAAACCAGAGCAGATTTCAATCAACATTTCCTTTTTGTCGACATAACAAAACTTGTTTTGATCTGACTGTGCGTGTGACACTTTCTATGCTCTTTCAGTTCTGCCCGGCTGTTTTCCAGCTCATGCCTAAAGACCAGACATTGGAAAGGAAGGGCAAGGAGACGTGGTTCCAGGCTGAACCCTGCTGCTGATTTGTTCTACAATCTCAGGCAGGTAGCTTTAGCGAATGTGCCTCAGTTTCCCCACTTCAGGAGTGAAAACACTTTTTGAAGTGCTGGGGTCTGCAGTGAAAAGCACTGCAGATATTCACTGTGTATTCACCATAATGGTGGAAATATTCACAGCTAGATGTGAAGCCAGGGGAGTTTCTGTACAACCAGAATAACATGGCCTTTCAGAAGGATCTCAGACATGCAAGGAGACAGACGCAAATAAAAGAAGGTGAACAGGGTGTGTGAAGCAAGAACTTTCCACCACCCAAGCAGGCCAAGCAAAGGGCGAGATAGCACTGCAGTTTGGTTGGGAAAACAGAGGAAAACCTATCCCATGGCAATACCGAGCACTGGTAGTAGGACTGGGCTATCCATGCAATCTCTTTATGTTTTGCATCCTTTAACTGGAGGAGACTGTAAAACAGCTATACAGGCTCAGTCTAAAGAGCCCCTCTTGCTTAGCATCCTGAGATAGTGCCCTTTCTTAAAAGCAAACATTTCATCTTGGTCTCACTTTACCCCCCGAGTGCATTTCAATGCACATTTCAATGTGAGGACTCGATTTGAAAGTTTAAATGTGCATATAAATGTTTGCAGGAATTACTTGCTTACAAACCTGTTAAGTAAAGGCCCAGGCCTGCAGACTCTTTTAATGTAAGGATTTATGTGGAAGGACCAATACCAACCCCTTCTAGAAAACGTTAAAATGTGGAACATGTAAAGGTCACTTTAAAGCAGTTTTAAATTACCAAAAAATCAGACTTACACAATCTATGACAAACATATGGCTATTATTATAAAACAACTGAAATTTAAACTTGATGAGCTTTCATTCTTAAATATCAACCCACTCTGTTATTCAATAGAACAGAAGAAATAGTTGAAAGCAGTATCTTGAGACAAACTTGGGCCAAATCTATGCATTACTGGAGAAGAGGCTGGGGTAAAAACCTGGCCTGAATGAAGTCAAGGAGGTTTTGCTGTTGTATTTAACAGGATAAGAATTAGAGTGTTTAGAGGAGAAGGGAGAAAAAAAAAAAAAAAGCCAGTTCCAAGACATGTGTTTTTGGCTCTTTTATTCAAGCATATGTCTCCAAAATCCGTTGTTCACCCTCAGTGTTTGTATACAGGCATTCTTTAGCAGAACAATGCTGAGTGAACAACAGATTTTAAATGCATGGGAGCTGTCTAGGAATTAGCACTTGCCTATGAATAAGCTCACCTAGCTAAATACTACTGTTGATATAAAAGAGGTGTATTTTCCACATATAAATTTGACCAGTCCATTCCACTTCTTATTTGCATAGAAAAAAAAATTCTTTAATCCAGGAGGCGCCACACATAAAGTAGCTAATTAACCATGTAAAGGAATGTATACATATTCACAGGTTTAAACTAGCATCTGCCTGCCATAGAAAAAGCTTTTGGCTTTGCCTTTTTCTGAAGGAAATGCTATACATGTTGGCATGATTTCCATGGGTATCAGCTCCACCTAAAGGTACTTGCCTAGACTGTATTCAGCAGTGTGGATGTAACACTATTTACTGAGCATTGTCACCCTGTTTTCATTTTCACTTCCTTATCCTCCATTCTAAAGCCAATGGGTCAGATCTTGAGTTCTGGCTTAGAGGTTAACAACAGCCATGCATGTGGTGTGGTACTATAAATTGATTTATTTATTTTTTTAGGTGTGCAGCAAACATGACAGGTTCGTTAGTCTTTGGCATAGAAGCTTTCCAAACTGGCTGATGCGTTTATTTAGGCTCCAGCCCTTACTCTCAGGCACCTGGACAGAGCCATCTCGGAGCATTCCTCAGCAGAACTGCAGTTGCATCTGACTCTTGAGCAACCTGGGGCATTTGCCTCAATAGGAGGCAACTTGTATAAGTAGCCTTTATTCATTAAAAACAAAGAAACAAACTGCAAATAGAAACAAAAAAATGACATCACTTCTGGCATAGATATCATAAAGCGAAGCCAATCTGTGCTGTCTGTATTTAAACAAGTGTAAAGCTGTCAAATTGACCAGAAGGCAATACAAGAGAAATCAGGATAAGGTAAAAAGTCTGTGGGACTAATGCGCAGGTTAGGATCTGGGCTCCTTGGGTCTTTCACTGTTGATCAGTCCGGTCCTCTCCTTCTTCAGAGTGACAACTCTGCTGAATCCAGGCTCATTTCTTCCTTTCTGATTTTGCCAATTCAGCTGTTTGGAGTTAAAACACCTTTCTGGGATTATATTATCTTGTATTGGGGGAATTGTATTTTGTTTTTATATCTTGTAGTGGGGGGAATAAGTCCACAGACCAGCTTCCTGGTCCTCTTGAAATAAATGGAAACACTATCATTTATGAGGCTATTGGTCCTTCATGTCTATAAATGTTCACAGTTAGATGCATGTCACTGACTTTATTTTGTTTATAATGTATGGAGAAAAATGCCCCCAAACCCTTAACTCCCAAAGAAAGCTGTGGGCATGGAAGAAATTCAGTGCCTCACAAAGTTGTGTTTCCCAAATATATTCTGCTTTCCTGTAATTTCAAAGATCATGGTGCCTGCATCCATCTACAAAAAGTCTTACACAGGCTGTCAGGTGGTTAGATCTCTAAATGGCATTTTGGGTAAGGGAACAGGCTTTATTTTTAGATTCAGTAGCGACAGGAGGAACAAGTGTGGAAGGATCCCTATATATTTTTCAAGGCCCTGTTTTATTTAAGTACTGTGGTATTACTAAAGTGATTATTTTTTGGCATCCTACAGGTTGCTGACAGTCAAAGCAGAAAGCTTTTCACGGGTGGCGCGGATATGCTGAAACTGTTGTCTTTCTTAATTAATTGCCAGTAATTTTTAAAAGTCCAATATTTTTGCATAAACATGTGGGAATTATTATAGCTGGAGAGTTGGACTAAAAGGGGAGGGGGTATGAGAGCAGACCAAGTCTGGAGATAACATGAT